TTCACGGACATTAAAGGAGAGTCGGCATATTCGGAACTGCTGGAGGATTTAATTGGTAAGAAACACAAAGAAGGTCGTTGGCTTTGCCTTTGCTTTTATCGGTTCATTTCTTTAAAGACGGTTAGGTGAGAGAATTACCATCCAATTCGCTCACACCACAACCTTATATCTGTCGCCTCCGGTCCCACCCAAATCCATCAAATGGATATCTCCACCGTACGATCTTTTCCGTTTCAAAATTTTTCAGCTTCAAACATTGGTCGTTGATATACTACATTTTTCTCCCATTGGCTAAGAGTCCCTTTTACTTCTAGTTTTGACCTCTTCCCGGTTGCTTTGACCATATGATGGATAATGTTCTTCCCTTTTCAACGGAGTTTTCTGTATTCCGTATTGATTTGCATAGTATTATAAAATAAAGATTATTAAGTGAAGAGAAAATCTTTAATATATGTGGGTTAGTTTATTATTTAATAATTTAAATTATGTAATTTAATATTAATGTAATTTAAATTACATTATATTTTTTTTATTTTCAATATTATTTGTATTAATATTTTCATTTCAAAATATAAACATATAATTTTAATATATTAAAAAATTAACTGTTTGCTTGATAGTAGAGTAATTTAAACCTTTACATCGATTTAATTCCAAACACATGCTCACTTAATTTAACTTCAGTTCAAAAAAACACGTGCTAACTTAGGAAAAAATTGGAGAAATCTCTCTTACACATGAGAGTTAGACATTTTTGAAACTCATTTAGTTAAAGAGATGACATTTTAAATTAAATAAGAAATATGGTTTTTTTAAATGCTTTTAATTAAGGACATCATATTTCAAAAATCAATTGACATACTACCAATTTTTTTATTTAACTATTAACATTAATACCTACCATCAATAGAGACATTAAGTACCAAGTCTCATGACTCATTTAGTAGGTGCATCTACTTTATTGACGATACCAAAATTCAAATCGTGGTGTTGCCATATTACAAGTTTTCATTATCTACCCCAAATTATACCTATTCGAAAAAAAAAAATTAATAGATACATTAAACTTGTTAGAATTTCACAACTTCTACCAAATACTCCCCATTCAACTTTAATTATCTATTTTTTAAAATTAAGAGTGTTTAAAATTAATTGTCTTACTCTTTAATCAAATGCATTATTTAAAAGTTAATTATTTAAATAATTTAATAGTAATTCTCTTTCAATAAGAATAAAAAAAATTAAATTATTTTTTATGATACAATTCAAAATAAAAAAAGTACTATTTAAAATTCTTATTTCAATTTTAATTCTTATTTTAATAAAATAATTACAATATAAATTTAAATAAATATAATTATTTTAAAAAATAACATAAAATTTTATCAATAAATTGCTACCCTACATTTTTTTTTTTTTAAATCTCATCAAAATGAAATTGAGAGGCACATGATGCTACATGTCCTTTTTTTCTATTTGTACTGACCAGACATGATTCATTAGTGACAAGTACAAGATGGTGGAAAAAGAAGACCAATTCACATGTGCCATGTAGTGTTTTGCTCCAAAATTCCACATAAAAAATGACAAAGGAAAAATAGATCGGTGGTAGCAATGTTAGCGACTTGGCATCCTCTCCCACCCAACAAGAACTGTCCTTATCCATTAAATTGCAAACAGGTCTATGAGCATGACCATGCATATGTGCAATTTATGTCTCTGCCTTCTGTCACAAGGACAGAGAAACAAGTGAATGGGACCCATTTAAGATCATAGAAGGTTTTGTGATTGATGATCCATCCCTTTAGTATAAAAATCCCTTCGTCCCCTATTCAACACAACATTTGGTAAAAAATGTAGGTTAAATCTTTAATTTGATCCTTAAACTATTATATAAACTTTTAATTTGGTCCTTAAACTAAAATTTTTTTTGATTTGGTCCCTAATCTATTGTACAGATCTTCAATTTAATCCTACTGTTTACCAATTTGTCCAAAATTGGTCATTTTATACAAAAAAAAAATGACATGTCTCGTTATTAAAGTAATATATGTCGTTAAGTTATTATTTTTTATCATTAAGTTATTATTTTTTATTATTAAGTTACTATTTTTTCTCATTAAATTATTATATTTTATCGTTAAATAATAGATATGTCAGTTGTTTTTTGTATGAAAAAACCAATTTGCAACAAATTGGCAAACAGTAGGATCAAATTGAGGATCCATACAAAAGCTAAGGGACCAAATCAAAGATTTTTTTAGTTTAGGGACCAAATTAGAAATCCACACAATAGTTCAAGGATTAAATTGGAGGTTTAACAAAAAAATTTAGTGTTTGGTTGACTTGCAGTTTTCTATCTCTCTCAGAAAATTGAAGGGTGGTACCAGTACTACAGTACTTTAAAAATGAAATGTAAAGTTCGTATTTTTAACTCATTTTACAAGTTATACCATTCTGATACATAACTTCTTCTTTTTTTTTTTTTATCATAAACAAGTTTTTCCCATACTTTTTTTCCTACTAGAGCCCACTTTGCAATTTCCAACTGACTTCTTACTAATTATGAGAAAATTAACAATCCCATAGAAAAAACCGTTCTTCATCTTTAGTAGATTTGATCTTAATTGTCGGTCAAAAATCAACAAATAAATTAATCTATTTTTTAGATCTCTTATATATTACTTATCCCATAATTTAAATTTAAAATTTTTAATTAAATTTTATGAAAATTATCTTTTTATATATTATTTACTATTAAATTTTTTTATATTTTAAATTATATCAAATTGTTAAAAAATAAATTTCATTTAATGTAATTTATAACATAGTTTAAATTACACTGTATATTTTTGTATTATTAAACAAGGCTAATCAATTAAAAAATACTACTATTATTTTGCTTCATGATTGTTACACCCCTTTTAAAGAAAACAGGATCTGCTTTTTGTGATGGTGAAACATGATATGCTTGATAAGTACTTGATTCCCAGATTAGATGTTGATTTTCACATGAAAATGAGGCAAACCCCAAATTATGAAGGAAAAACAACTCCAAAGAACATGCATATGTGTGATAATCATGTTAACTTTGTTGGCATGATTGAGTTTATTATGGATTATAAAAATGGATCTTGAAAGAACTTGCAAATCTCAATCAAATTATCTCCTTTATTTCCACTCATATTTAAAGATCCACATGATGTTTGTCGAAATGCCTCAACCATGTTTTCCTATATGTTTTTGGGCAACAAAATAAAAAGGAAACTAAACCATTACGTACATGGCAAAGCACAAGACAAAATCAAGGTCTTTCAGAACAAACTGCCTTTAGACTTGTTCCTAGAAATCCTTTCAAGATTGCCGGTGAAATCCTTAATGCGATTCAAGTGCGGATGCAGATCATGGTCTGTGTTTATTACAAGTCCCAGTTTCATAGCCAGCCATCTCAACCGCAGCCGCCAAAGCAACTCCTGCAGCATCCTCGTCAAGTTCTTTCGAGAAGAAGAAAGCTTCTTGTCCTTAATTACTTTCTCCCCACGATCTTTCCGTTGTGAACTTAAATCTAGATTGGTTGGTTTTCCACAAGTATATAGACTTCAGTGTTGTGGGTCATTCTGATGGAATTATATGTCTTTCAGATTAGATGAAGACAATATCGCTTTATGTTACGCTGCCACCAAAGAGTCCCTGCTTCTCCCTAAATCCCGCCTCCGGCAACATTATTTCCCGTCCAATCCGAATTTGTTCTCGAAGACTGATGCCATGGGGTTCGGTTTAGATCCCTCAAACAATATATAGTCACAAGGTATATCTACACCTGTTGCTTCCTTATTTTTGTTTGATCCATGATTTGAATAGAAAAAATTATTATATAATCTGAATTATATTGGATTGTTAAAAAATAATTCTTTAATATTAAAACTCTTTTATTAAATGATTTTAGATTTTTATTTGAAAAATTATCTTTTATTTAACTAGTAATGGGGAAATTTTTTTTTTTTTTAATTGGCAAGGTTGTAGGGATTGTCTCTTACAGGGAAATTTTTATCGAAGGTGGCTTCAAATCCCACCCTTCCATGGTTGAAGTCTACACTTTAGGGGGTTCATCCTGGAGAGAAGTCAAGAACGCCATGGATAGAATAAAGATCACTCCTTTACGGTGCACTTCGATCCATACTTATTTCGATAGAGCATTCCACTGATGTGCCACGGATAACATCAACAAGCAGGAGGTCATTTTGTCTTTCGACATGAGTGAGGGGAGTTTCGGAACAATCCCGAACGCCAGAGATTTCCTCTCCCCGGATCAAAGTACACGAGGCTATGGAGTGGGATGGCTTCCTTTCTCTTGTCGTTCATCCGATCATGACCAAAATGGAGAAGATGTTTGAAAGTTTTGTGTTGAATGGTTATGGAAGTGCCAAGGAGTGTTGCAGTAAGATGCTGATTGTTGGGCCAATTGCAGGGGTTGAAGTCCCTCTGTTGTTTTGGGGAAACGATGAGATTCTTTTGGAAAGCAGTGATGGAGGGATTCTGGTTTATGATCGTAAGACCCGAAAAAGGAAGAAAATTTTATTGGGGTGTGAGAAGAAACTTTTATGGCTGTGACCTATATAGGTAGCCTTGCTTCAATCAAAGCATGATATGGCGAATTGATTCATCCAAAAAGTTTCAAGTTAGAAGAATTTCTTTTTATTTTAATAAATGTTGATTTATCAATGTTTTTGTTGATTCTAATAGCAAGAGTTTAATTTTTTTTAAATAAAATCTTGAATTTAAATTTTATAAATGAAAAAATAGATGTTAAAAATACTTTTATTTACAAATCTGACGTGAATAAATTATAAATTAATTAAAAATTAATATAATTATCAGATATCGAGAGGTTAATACTAAAGAAACAATTTATCTAAAATGTGAGCTGATCTTAATATTGGATGTTACTTTTTAATTAATAATTAAAAATAATGTAATTTATATATTATAATATTTTCAAATAATATTCTCTCTCAAAACTAAAGAAATTGTAAAAAAAAATTATCACTAATGTAGTTGATTTATCTTATAAATAATTTTGTATATTTAAAAATTAAAATTTATCATATAAATTTAACTTAATAATATTGTATTAATGACAATAAAAAAATAAAAACTCAACCAAGCAAAGTCTAATAATTTAATTAAATATTTTAATATTGAGATTTCATTTGAAGAAAACTAGAATTGTTGACCAAAAAATAAAGGCAAAAGAATTATTTTAACGAAAACAGAAGTACTCCTCACTAGTACATTTTTAATGCAGTAAATATCTTTTAATTGCAGTGCTGATTGTGTAAGGACACATGTAAAGCTTTGATTTTTACGCACTGGATTGTCTCTCTTCTCAGCTTTCATGGCAAAAATACGTTCTTCGCCTCAAGTGAAAAACAAAAAAAAAAAAAAAATTAGAGTTATTTTTGATTTGATGATTTGAAGAGAGAAAATGAGTATTAATCTATTGGTATATGATAATTATATTAAATTTTAATTAATTTAAAATTAAGATGTATTAAATCTTATTTAAAAAAACTTTTCAAATATTTATTTTTTTATTTATAAAATTTAAACCCAATAATTTATTTTAAAAAAACTAACTTCATTTAACTTGTACCAACAACTAAATGAAAGGAAATTTTTTGATATTGGGCTAAGAGCATGACCATAAAATGGCAAACAGGTCTATGAACATGACCATGCATGTGCGAAGGTTGTGTCTCTTTCTTCCGTCACAGGGGACAAAGAAACAACTGAATGGACAGTTCAAAAAAACAAAATATAAAAACAAGTCAATGGAGGACCCATTTAAGATCATAGAGACCTTGAGGGCTTTGAATCAATCCATCTTTTTGGCTGGACTAGATAAATCCCCACATCTCCACTCAATTCAGCATTGGTAAAAATGTTGTGTTTAGTTGACATGCATCTTTTTCTCAGCAAATTGAAGGGTAGTTTTTAGTACTTTAGTAGTGTAAAAATAAATTGTAAAGTTTGTGTTTTTAACTTCTTTTTTTTTTTATAAATAGAGTGCAAATATAAGTATACAAATTATACATGGTACAAAATATTTTGACTCAAGTATAATACAAAAACTAAGAAAATTGTAAAGAAAATTCTTGGTCAAACATCTTAAAATTATGAGATTTCAGCTTTCATAATTCAACTAAAATTTTTAACTCGTCTTATCTCTGATATTATTTAGGATTTTAATATCTAATTTCTTCTTTTCATACTTTGTGTAAAAAAATTTTCTTGTACCTTCCCCTGTTAGGCTCACTTTCACAACTTCTACCAACCTTTTTCAATGCTAATTTCTTACTGAATATGGAAAGTTTATAATTTTATGCAAAAGCAAAACTTGCTTGCTCATCAAAAAACAGGATAGCCAATCTATTTTTAAATCTCTTATTCATATCTCCTAGTTTAAACTTTAAACTTTGCAATTGAACTTTTACATGCATATGTAATCATGTTAAATTTGGCATGCTTGAATTAAATTATGGATTATACTCACCAAAAAAAAAAATTATAGACTCTAAATACGAAAGCATGGAAGGAAAACATGCAAATCTCGATTAATTGTCTCCATTATTTCCACTCATATGTAAAGAGAGCCATAGATGTTTGTTGAAATACCTGAACTGCAGACGGTCTATGCTTATTAGCAATCCCAATTTCATAATGGCCCAACTCAACCGTACCCGGCGGAGCAACCCCTGCAGCATCCTCCTCAAGTACCGCCGGGAGAATGAAAACTTCTTGCCCTTACTTTCTCCCCACGACCACCTTTCCCTTGTGAACTTAAACCTAGCTAGATTGGTCTGCTTTCAACAAGGATACAGACTTCAGGGTTTGGGGCCATTTTGATGGAATTATCTGCCTTTCAGATTATGAAGACAGCATCGCTTTATGCAACCCTGCTATCAAGGAGCCCCTGCTTCTCCCTGAAGCCTGCCTCCTTTGACATTTTCCGTCTAATCGGAATTTGATCCCGGAGAACAATGCCGTGGGATTCGGTTTTGATCCCAAAAACAATGGTTACAAGGCGTGTGTATATATATATTCACTGTCTAATTTACTTTTTAAAAAAATGTTATACTTTTCTGACTTTATATATGATATAAATTATGATATTAAGGTAAGTTTTTTGATATTAAGTATTATTTAACTTTTAATTTGATAGTTTTTATTTTATAATTTGATGTAATTTAAACCGTAAAATAAATAATTTATTTATTTTTTTAAATTAATTAAAT